AACATTAATAACAAACATATACACTAAAACTTATACAATAATTAATACAATACATTTTAAAATTTAGTTAAAAATAATAAAAGTTCGTTTTCTATATCTTCTTGGTGTGTTTTAACTTACCCATAGAGAATAAAAAAAAACAAAAATAAAAATAGTATGACTAAAAATTCATTAGGAGTTCTTCATAATATGTTATTAATAGAAGGTAATGTATTAAACCTGTGTTGATGGTATGCAACCTGTTTAGCATGCAGGTGTATTATGGTGTGTATATGTACCAGTAAGTCTTTGTGTCATTTTTGATGTTTAGTCAGTAAATAACAATAAATGTTACTCAATTTGTCTATATCGGACTTCTTATTTATACAAGACGCACTGGACTTTATTAAACACATTTCCAGGAAAACACCCTGAGAATGGTTATTTTCCCTTGCCAGAATACAGGAATCCTCGAAATTAAATTCATGTTTTAAACTTAATGCATGTTCTGTCAACGCGCATGGGTTAATTTTTTTGGTTTTTATGTCGCTGCGATGTTTCACCAATGTAAACGTTTTTGCAATTAGCACACGGTATAGAATAAACAACATTCGATGATTCCTGTATTGTGAAAGGATCCTTTGTCTTTGTGTACAACTTCGATACCGTTTTCACATTTTTAGTTGCAATTTTTAAGCCACTAACATTTTTGAAAATGTTCATTATCTTAGGGGTTAGGACTGGAATATAGGGTAGGCAACCATACGTTATTTTAGATTGTGGTAGCTCTGATGTGTTGTGTGTCAATGTCGATGTCAGTTGTCGGACCTCATTATTATGAAAATTTTGGTTCTCAGAAAATTGCAACGGAACAGTAGTACCAAAAATGAGTTTATTTAAAAGCCCTATGGGATAGGAGTTCTCTTGTAGTATAGATCTCAACTTTTTCAGTCCCTTGTCTCTGACCTCAATGTGTGATAAGTTGATAACCCTAGTTTTGAGGGCCAAAACTTATGTGTCCGCAATCTCTCAAATTGATTTAGGCAGACGAAAAGGAAGAAAGAGAAGCAGCAGAACCAGAATATCACAGAGGACGTAATACAGATAGTAGTGAACAGTAGAGAGGAATAGCAGAGAAGAATAGTAGAGATGAATGTAGAGACGAACGGCAAACAGAAGTGACTTCGTTTCTTCGAATTGGAAGACGTCTCTTTGACAAAAGAGAAAATAGTTAATTTAGAAAGCACTGTGTGAAGAGAGATAGATAAGGGTGAATTGAAAATACACTTACCGATGTTTGATGGAGACAAACTGCTGGTCACAGGAACCAAGTCGGAAATGAGCTCGAATTCTGATCCTAGACACGCTAAGGATAAAAAAGAGTGGGAATAAAGTTTAATTGGTGTTATTAAAACAGCAATTTAAATATCATACGCTATACAAAACTACTTTGAGTGGGCGCTTACAACGATCCTCGCTCCGACTATAGGATGGTACCATATCGATCTATAGGTAAAATAAATGCATAATTTTAAATGCGACCATTCATTGTCAATATTATGCTCTAGGCGAGGATACGATGCGATAATCTCCATTATGAACGTACCCTTAGAGTTTCATAAGAATAAATATAAGAGTAATATCTGGTATTTTCACTGGAAACTGCTCACTCGATCTCATGTATGTAAAATTGTCAAAGTGATCAGAGTGACATGCAAATTTTACGAAAATGATAATTTATGTAGTAAATACATAAATTTGAAATCTACAACATATAATGTCAGTTGCTTTATATGTCTTTAGCACAAGCTTATTTAATTTATTTATGCATCGCATTTTTAAAAGCTTCAATATCAAGTAGGGTAATATAGAAAATTTGTTTTTCATCTAACTTTGATCTATATGAACCTTTTTTTCTACGCCTCTGTGTATAACAAACGATCGTGAGTTGTTATATACTGTAAATCTTAATACATAATTAGACAAATGTACAGTAGCTTGGGCCCCAAGCTCGCAGTGAGGCCTAAGAAAAATGCATAATTGCTCCGGTATAAGCTGGCAATCAAACAGTGGTATTTTATGCAGATATCAATCCAACAGCAATGGTATATCTCAACGCATGATTTTTCTGATGTATTCGAATTGCATCTTAGCCTAGAGCCATCACGGTGCATTTACCTGATTGCCATTGCCTTTCTTTGGGAAAATATCATTTCAAATATTATTTCATATCTCGTTCATTGCCAATTGTTGCTTGATCTTCTGATCACGAATGGAGCAAGTACTGTCTGCAGTTTGTTGTTTTCTTGAGTTCATAAATTGTTAGTGATCAATATTGGTTGGTACATTGGTACAATTATATAACATTTTATACAATTAGTAAATTTAATAAAAAATGATTTTTTTTATATTTTTAGTTAAAAATAAATTGACAAAAAAGGCGATTTCAAACAGGAAAAGTCCTTAAATTAAATATAAAATATCAAAATAATCAATATTGATACTACAATTATATTATAATATGGACAATATTGATACAAGTTATTGATTAGACAAATAAATGAATTTACCATATAGATTACTGATGGTATGGGCCTGAATATCAATGATAGTTCGTCGTGCTGGTAATTGTTGAAGATGAAGTAGTGATATCACGAAGGTATATAGTACGTCCACTCTATCTTTTCCCATGAGTTATAATTCATTTTCAAACAGGTTAAATCAAAATATTAAATAAAAGGTACGTCGATGTGTAGATAATCATCATTGATACCTACTACTGTCAATGAATGTAATAATCACTAACTGGCTATTATACTGGTGGATGCATTTTATAAAAGTAAATTTAGTAAATATATTATTTATTAAGAAAAATACAGAAAAGACAGGCTACATTGACGCACTATATACGTGAAAATAAATCTATTCTGTCGTAGGAAGCAGCTCTAACATGGCTTTGCATGGGCGCAAATAGCGACATCTAATATTAAATATAATTTTCGAAATTAGTTTTGAAAATTAATTTACGGATTTAATATTATTTGTTACCAACCATCTAATAGTTTCATCTTTCCTTGAAGTAGTTGAAGGTTGTTTATTTAAAAGGACACTGTGGTAAGAAACATTATCCACTACAACCAATGATGGCTCTTCTAAATTAGGTATTAACTGTGTTCTTATCCACTTAGTAAAAAGTTCGTTGTTCATTTCTCCATGATAAGCAGCTACGTTAAATTTTGAACAAAACAATAAATTTGCTCCCGAAACAAATCCTTTGCGTGAACCAGAGTGAACAATTATAAAACGTTTACCATCATAACCTCCTGGTTTTCGGACACTTTTGACACTATTGTCTTGCAAAGAATTTGTTTGATTTCCTTTCGAGTAAATCCAAGTTCCATCTAAAAAAAAAAACTTTTCTTATAAATACACTTTCACGATTTTCCATATACTTACGAAGAAATCTGGCTCATAGAGCAGCAATACTAGTTTGCACAGGGTGTAATGCTACTTTACCTTCACGTGCTATACCCTAGGTAACGCCTAGATCTCAGAGCACAAATCACAAATATATTTTACTAATAATCTTTGTGATAAACGTTAAATAAATTTGTTAAAATCATTAAAATTTGTATTATGACCCTTAGTCCTCCTCCTCCTCATAATCCCTTTGGGATATGGTGACACCATCAGACCTTTACAGTTTTTTCACGATTTTCCTCCATCCTTCTCTCTCCTGGGCTAGTTGTTTGGCTTCACGTAACCCTTGGTTAATCAATATTTTTGTTTGATCTACCCAACGGTTTGGAGATTTCTTTCCTTCAACTTTACCCTCGACTATCAGTTTTTCTATCGTACCTGTTCTTCTAGCAATGTGTCCAAACTACTGCAAATATCTCTGTTGTATTTGTTTAAGCAATCTATCCTTTACTTTAAGTTGTTTTAATATCGATACGTTAGTGCGATGATCAATCCAGGATATTCTCAACATGTGGCGGTATACCCACATTTCAAAAGCGTCTAGTTTATTTTTATCCGCTTTCTTTAAGGTCCGCGTTTTGGATGCATATGTAACTATGGGAAAAATGAGCGCCCTTACCAGCCTTAGTTTTGTGTGTATTGTTATGCTAAAATTTTTCCAAATTGCTACCAGTTTCATCATAGCTGTTCTAGCAATGGTCAACCTTCTATGTATCTATGTGTGATTGCTTTAAATTCCCTGGATAGATATCAGACTTTGTTATATAACTCATGGGATTCATACCGGTTTGCATGTCTCTCTAGTTCTTCGCATTCTCCATTTATATGTTTATTTTTATCATCCCTACATGCTCTTTTAATTTCTCTATTTAACCTTGCTAATTCGTTTTTGTTACTATCGTTTTGATGTATGACAGATTTGATTCTCCTTCGCTCTTCGAGAAGTTGCAGCGTTCTGTCGGTCATCCAGTGTTTTCTTTTGATGATCTTTTTTTCGGTTCTGGTTCTTTCTACAGAGGTTTCTAAGGTATTTCTGAGACCTTTCCACGTTTCTTTTGGGTTGTCTTGTGTGTTTAACATACTAGTTTCCTTTAATGTATGTCTAAATGTTTTCCGATTTGAAATCTTCAGCCTGTTTTGATTTTGGTGCGGCATTGTTCTTTTTAGCTTCATCTTGAAGCAAGCCCATAACAATTTATGATCGGATTCACATTCAGCTCTTACGACATACTTTACGATTGTAAAATATGTCTTCCATCTGTTTCTAATCAACATGTAGTTGATTTGGTTCTTGTATTCTCCGTTTGGGCTGGTAAACGTCGATAAACGACGGGCATGATGTTTGAACATTGTGTTTTTAATGGCCAAACTGTTTTCGGTTGCAAAATCTATTAAACGTTCTCCTCGGCTGTTGACCCTTAGTTGACCCTTAGTACTTGATAGTACATATCCTGGTACATTTTTTTCAGAGTTAATAAATGTACGTGCTATTTTCATTAATAGTGACAAGGTATTAAAGTAAGTAATAAAATTTAAAGCTTAATAAAATATCGAGGTGTTTATTTAGTCTTCTAGAACTTAAATACTGTACATAATAAAATTATTGTCTTCTCCAGTTGGCTTTCGTCACCATCTCAAATTTTACATTCCATTCATTTATTGTGCTTTAACAGAAGTATTTTCCGTCTGATATTGGTTATTATTTAACCTAAAAAATATGCATTACTTTATTACAAAAACTGTAAAAAAACATGACATGAGAAAACTAAAATGTAGTAAAGTAAAAGAAACATTAAGCAAAATAATAAATATAAAATTTAAAGAAATCAAAAATATAACGAAAAGCACAGAAGAGAAGACAGAATCTCTTAATAAAACGATAGACGACATTAAAGACAATTTTATGAAAAACGAAGAAGATAAGAATAAGACATGGATTGCGACAAAGATTCTGCAGCTGATGGAAGAAAGAAGGAAAAATAAAAGCAATAACTGTGTGTATAAAATATTACAATAATAGAAATACAGAGAATATCAGAGAAGCCAAACAGAAAGAACTGGCGCAGAAAACCTGGAAGACGAAAGAGATGAGGTAAGGGGAACAGACGAGAGGGAAGAGGGACCACCAATGATTCTTGAAGTTAAAGATGCAGTTAAAAAACTAGCCAGAAACAAATCACCCTGAATAGATAATCTCCCAGTTGAACTATATAAAAAAGGTAGCCACGATATCATAATATCATTGCAGAGCTTATAAACACAGAAGTCCCTGGGCGATGGATGGTGACGATTGGAAAGAAATTCTTGAGCAGGCGACCCATGCAGTGTTGTAAAGCCAGAATGATGATGATGATGAGAAAGAAGGACAAAGAGAACAGACTGGCGAATAAAAAGACAGGTAAATACACATTCTGACCACGTACTATCAGTGGCCGTCATAAAGATCGCTCTTTCGTGCAAGAACAAGCCTAAAATTCAACAACAGCTGGTACTGGATAAACTGAAAGACCCAATGATACAAGCAGAAATAAGCAATGAAATAAACGCACAAATTCAAATATTGACGACAAACATTACCGAAGATCTAACACCAACATGGAATACGATTACAAGTGCTGTAACAGACATCATGAAAAACAACTTAGGGTACAAACGAAATAACAAGAGGCAAAAATGGATGACAGAAGAAATACTATTACTAATGGAAGAACGACGAAGACACAAGAATGACTAAGATGGCAGCAATATGTATGAAAACATTAACAGGCAAATAAAAGCAAAAATAAGAATAGCAAAAAATGAATGGCTTAAGCAACAATGTATCGATCTAGAACATTTACAACGACAGCACGACGACCGTAATTTACATAAAAAGCTTAAGGAGACTGCTGGAATATACAGAAAACGAAGACCAACTACCATAGTTAATCAGGATAACCAGATAGTGCTGAGTGAAAAGGAGAAAATTGATATATGGCAAAATTATATCCAGGAGCTCTTCCATGACGAAAGACCCATGAGTGAAGTTTATACAGATGACCAGCTGACTGGCCCTTCAATCACCAAAGAGGAGATAGAAAAGGCCATATTAAATTCCAAAAACAATAAGGCACCTGGACCAGATGAGATCCCGTCAGAAATACTCAAATTACTAGATGAAAGGGGAATTTCAGCACTACACAAAATATTTAATTTAATTTATGAAACTGGCTGCTATCCTCAACAGTGGTTACGCTCTACCTTTATTCCCCTGCCCAAGACAGTCAATGCAAGAAGATGTGAGGATCACAGACTCATTAGCCTGATGAGTCACACTTTAAAGATATTCTTAAAAATACTACATCAAAGATTATACAAAAAATGTGAATGGGACATCAGTGATTCCCAGTTCGGGTTTAGGCAAGGTTTAGGAACACGAGAAGTAATAGTAGAAACACAGGTGCTGGTCCAAAATTGTTACGATCAGAGGAAGTATGTGTTCCTATGCTTTTTAGATTACCAAAAAGCGTTTGATCGTATCCAACATCAAAAGTTAATGCAGATTCTCAAGAAAGTTGATATAGACCAAAAAGACATAAGATGCATTGAAAACTTGTACTGGCATCAAACGGCACAGTTAAAAATGAACAATTCTATATCCAAACCCATACATATAAGAAGAGGCGTTCGACAGGGATGTGTGCTTTCCCCTCTTTTATTTAACATTTATTCGGAAGCCATATTTCAAGAGTCTTTGGAGGATGCAGAGATGGGAATCAAGGTGAATGGAGTATTGATCAACAACATACGATATGCTGATGATGGTGTCTTAATTTGTGACAACATAGTCGATCTTCAACAACTTGTCACTATAATCGGAGAATACAGTAAGCGAATGGGATTAGAGATTAATACCAAAAAGACCAAATTCATGATCATCTCCAGAAACTTGGATGCACTTGAAAACTCCACCATAACACTGAATACTAAGTTCATTGAAAGAGTGAGCAAATTTAAATGCCTGGGATCGTGGCTTTTTGAAGACTGGGCATCGGACAGGGAAGTAAAATGTCGCATTGAGCAAGCTCGATAAGCTTACGTAAAATTCAAGAAGGTACTGACTTGTTCAGAGTTCGATCTTCAACTGAGACTAAGGTTTACTAAGTGCTACGTATGGTCAGTGCTGCTATATGGCGTAGAGGGCTGGACACTCAAAACGAGGGATATAAACAGATTAGAAGCTTTCGAAATGTGGCTTTATCGCCGTATCCTAAAAATACCATGGACAGCGAAAATTACAAATATAGATGTCCTTAAAAGAATAAACCAAGAACGCCAACTTTTCGAAACCATCAAGAAAAGGAAAACGGCGTATCTAGGTCACATCATGCGAAATGAAAAATACCACTTCCTCCAACTTATAATCGAGGGTAAAATTGAAGGCAAGAGAGGAATGGGACGCAAGAAAATGTCCTGACTCCGAAACATAACGCAATGGACAGGGATTAACGACATACAATCTCTGATACATATTGCAAGAAATAGAGAATTAATGGAAAATGTGATCGCTAACATCCATTAGTGGATTTGCATCTGAAGAAGAGAAGAAATACAGTCCAGAGGTGTATAGATGGATTAGGAAAAGCATGCTGAAGAAAATAAGTGATCGAATGCAAAATATGAAACAAACTAACCAAGAACTTAGATGACAGAAGCTTTCATTACCTATAGCCGGTCTTAGATTTAGGTCTAGGTTAATGTAGTACCAAGTTAATTCATGCTTAATGTTTTAACATAAAATAATATACCGATTTGAGTTTTATCATTACAGTAATTAAATATAAACATAAAATTCTATTTTTTTGTAAACTAATAATATTGAGTTTAAAAAATTACTTTGTATCTATGATATCGGTAATATTTTTAAGATCCATGTCATGCTTTATCAAATAGTCATAGAGTTTTTGACAATCGTGGGTCCACGTAGCTTCGCAAATAAAGTTAAATTCATTAGTACACCCTACGTCATTCCATTTTAACTCTTTGTCTACAAATCTCATTTCAATACAGTATTCATTCTTGAAGGCGTTGTTTGGTTCACCAGGGCTCCAGTTAAAATAAGACATGCCCCTAGCGCTAGTAAATGATATCCATCGTTCTTGGTCAGGCAGACGAGTACCAGACATCCAATAATGTAAAGCAGAGTCACCTACAACAAATCATTTCGATAAAATCTTTGGGTTTTTGTATAAGTTAATACTGTAATATTTTATTATCTAATAAAAAATAATGAAAATTCGAAATTTTTTATCGTCTTTCACGGTTACATAAAAATAACATGATGGGAACTTATGAAACATGATTTATTGTCAAAGTGTTTTAATATTATATCTCCAACTGCTCCTCAGTCCTAATCCCTATTGGGATGTGGTGACACTTTTGTATCTTTGCAGTTTTTTTACGATTTCCCTGCATCCTTCCCTGTCCTGGGCTAGTTGTTCGACTTCATGTAACCCTTGGCTCTCTTTACTCTTTTCTTTAAATCTACCCTCGACTATCAGGTTTCTGTGCTTTTAGCAATGTGTCCAAAATACTTCAAATAACCACTTAGGTTGATGCGCCTTAATTATATATAAAAAAACATACCAAACGTTATCTAAAATTTAAAAAACTGTTACCTTTCTCTAAAATCGCGTCCTCAAGAAAATGCATCTCCGTCTTTGATTCTATATTTACCAAGTTCATTCCATGATATCTACAAAATTGCTCAGCGTGATAGAAATTTCCCTAAAAGTAAAAAACACACTTACAATGGCTCCTATATTACTAGTTAACGATTGTACTTGAGGTCAATGTTCAGTTTATCACAGAATTTATGAAATGTGCAGGAATTTATGAAATGTGCAGATTATTTTAATGGTGACTCTCCATCTTAGTTGTCATATGTCAGTTATCACTTTAATATTTCCGTTAAATCTGAAAGACCCGGAGCCATTCCGTCACCTGCCATTTCTCAGAATGTAGCGTCCAAAGATTTTTTAAAACTGTTTGCCCTTTGTCTAGTGCTAGTTTCTGTATAAATATATTTAAATCTTTAACCAACTAAAAATTGACAACTATACAAAAATTTCAGAAGCCGAAAACATTAAGTACCTTTGTATTGTAATAGACAAACACCTAAAATGGGATCACCATATCAAATATGTATCTAGTTAAAAAAATAAGAGATTTACTCTCAAAATTCAAATATCTTCCCGACTTCTTGGATGTTCACCACTTAAAGATTTTCTACTATTCTCTAGTATAATCACAATTGGTCTATGGCATTATTAGATAATATGGCAAAATTGGATAATTAAAATAATATATAGACAAGATATAAGATCTTACGTGGACCAATTATTTAAAGACAGTCATTTCATAGATTTAAACTAGTTTTACTCCTACAAATCGTTGTTATATTTACACAGTGAGAAATCATTTCTGAATTATATCCACCATCTCCTATGATGATTGAAGTCTTTATTAGACGGTATACCTATCTGAGACAAAAAATATCTTGCCGACCTTGTCTCTCAAGCCACGAGCCGCCACTGCTCCTGAACATGATAATTGTGTTTATGCCAAATAGTATCAACTCCATGTTTTTTCAAAAATCTAAGAGTTAAAAAAATAACAAATACAGGGATATATAGTGTCATTTATACCTATCAAATAGTGTCCATCACATATTTGAAGAAAAAAAAAATAAAAATTATATTTAAAATTCAAATTTAAAATAGGGGAAATATTGGGTTTAATACTGCATGCAATTTTTGTAAATAACTTTTTTTGTACCATTTGTACATTGTACCAACGGATCTAATGAGCTTGATCACACTAATCAATCATCCAGAGTGTACAAATATAATGTGTGTGTGAATTATCGCATTCCATACTATTAAATTCATTCAAAATTGATTTGCTAATAACTTAAGGTTAATTCTATTTTTATATTATAGTAGATAAAATGTTTGAACTTTACCTTAAAAATGTCGCCGATATAGTAGCTCTTTCTACCAAAATGAATTAGTTTTAAGGATGGAACTTTTTCTGTGATATTTTCAAAGACATCTGTAAAAATACAAAATACTGTATAATCAACTTTTAAACTTTAAAATTATATACATTCATCGGCTCCCTCCAAGTCTTCTCTTACTCCTATCAGGAACTTACAAATAAGCAATTCTTCGTATTCTAGGATTACCCTGTCGATGTTAAAAATGCCTGAACCATCTGAGCCTTTGATCTCTCATTTTGACGTCAATTGAAATCTTATTTACAAAAACAACATAACTCACACTTTTACTAAATTGAAAATGCTAATTTATTATCTATTTACTAAATTGATGAAAATCCAAGATGAAACTAATATAAATAATATTACTCTTATTGATGCTCTGAAAGACTGCACCGGAACACCTTCTGGTCATAAAGGACCCCGACGGGGATCACCAATCACAAGGCAGATCAACATTCCCAGACTTAATATAGATATTCGGGGCGATGAGTTGCCAAATATTGTATTTGAGGCAGAGCAGTTTGATCAAGATATATCCGAACACACGTGGAAAACCATTGCTAACTATCAGTGAATTCCTCATTTAACCACGGGACTAGTCACTATATTCATTGTTATGTTGATTGTTATTATGTGAAAGGTAGTAAGATATATTCGAAACTCCAAGAGAGCCAGAAAACAAAGACATCAAGGTTCTCGCATCGAACCTTATCCAGCGCCTCGACGTACGGTATAATTAAATTTAAGTAAAACTTTAGAAAAAGCGGCCTCTAGATCAGTTTCACTTAATTAGCTTAGATTTAAATTAGATAGTTTAGCTGAATTATAAATTCTAAATATTCAAGTTATAGGTAGCACTGTTCTGGTGAGATAATAATTCAAAAACCGAATGAATTAGTGTTATGATTATCATTATAATATCATTATTTTCAATTTTATATAGTTTAAATATTTTCTATTGGTCGTCGGTTTCTTTTATATAGTGGCCAATATGTTCAATCACAAATGAATCCCTTAATTTGTAATCTCACGTTAGTTTTAACTTCTCGACCTTTATGGTCTTACCGTGTATAATTGAGACATTGTGAAACATATCGAGTAATATTTTAATACTTATTACAGTCCATTCAACTTGAAGACTTAATAGATTGCCGAATAATATATTTTCTAATTGAACTTCTTAAGTATTGCAATAATGGCCTAGATTAAATTGTATTGTAAGCGCATAGTTCAAAGTTTGTTAGTATGATAGAACCATTAACCATTGTGCTGAGATATAAATTATTTGTGAAATTATAAATTGGGGATTTGAGCTCACTTGAGCGCAGTCTATTATAGAAAGTTACCTAACTAACATCTATAATGTAATTAGTTTTTACCCCATGACTTCTACATTTTATTGTATTACCATCGACGATCGAGAAGAATCGGACAAAGGGGCATTAGAAATCAATTCGATCCTAAAATTTACATCGAATTTGTCCAGATTTAGTATGTTTCCAGTATTATTTAATATATACACTGATGAAGCCCTGAGATAGTGATAAGATAATATAAAGACAGGCCATACAATAATCTACACATTAAATTAGGCAGTTAATTAAATTGGAATTGCACAGGAAAAGAAAGATTTAAAATATATGTCAGGGAAGCATGTCGAAGAATATTATTTAATGTGACAAAAATGCAGTAGCTTTGTAAAAGAAGGGAACAAGCTACGAAAAAACTGGACCTGGATAAAAAAAATTAAAAGTTAATTCAAATTAGCAAGGAGTTTATTACTACTACATGGCAAAATAAGGAAAATACTAATTTTTAAATCGGTTTTATGCAAAAATATATAAGAGAGGATGCAAAAAATGAATCTGCAATACAATATTAAAACTAGTGTTAACATATAGAACAGAGGTATGGTAATTAACCAAAACATATAACACCATAATATTAAGAGCTTTATTATGAACTTTTAGAGAAGTATGGGAGTACAAAGGAATATAATAGAAGACATAGAAGAAAACAGCAATTTGCCTAATACAGACACTTTAAAAGAACGGAAGAAAGCAGAATCCTCAAAATACTATTAAGTTGGACCACCGCAGAAAAACCGAAATGAGAAAGATCAGCAAAAACATGGCTAAAAGCACATCGCCAAGGCGATTTATGGAAGAAATATTATGGAAGAGATCTGCCAAAATAAAAAGGAGATGCGATTAGGAACAGAAACCCTTATAACGCTATAAAAACCATTTTAATAGATATGTAAAATCGCTATATGTAAAAAAAGATGTAAAAAGCTTTGGCAGAATCACCAACCAAATATAAAAAGTACAGTCTTGAAACACTTGATAAGCTAGAGATTTATTTGCAAAGATCAAATAGCGTAAGTTAAGAATAAATGTAAAAATTAAGAAAGCATCCGATTTTATTTTTGAAGAGGCCTTTCAACAAAATACAATATATATCTTTTATATACATATAAAAATGTAAAGAAAACTTACATAATAAAAACCAGATATCGGTATTTAACGGGAAAAACCAGTTTCAACTATAGAACCTTTAGACTCAATTTTTTGATTGGTTTAGTTAATTATTATTTCTTTTGAGTATTTGTTATTAATAATCGTTTTAATTGTATGTATTTACCAAAAACCAAAGTGGTATTTCCATTTTCCGCGGTGACTGAACTCGAAGCAAGAATAGCGAATAAAACACACACAATCACACACCCAGACATGTTTACAGTTTTTCTAAATGTGAATATTCATGGTATTTATTTAATATATACTGGTTTATATCAAAATTCCTTTGTGGAGAGGGAGATTATGAGTAATCTTGTCGAAGAGTATTTATGTTATAAATATAATATTTAATATTTGACGTAATACTACTTAGTCCAGGCTGTGAGGCCGCTCCCGTTATGAAAATGTTTCTGATTCGGTTTCTTCGCGGATTCCGGTTCAAAAATGTCCCCTTTAAACAAATCTGAAGGGTGCCGGGCGAAATTTTTGGGTAGAAATTGTTTAAACAATTTTTTTAAACAAAGTCCAAAAATAATTTCTTTTTAATCTGCAAAACATTTTTTTAGGTTTTTTGGGCCATTCTAAACAAAAAAAGTCTCTTGTCATTTTGCTATAAAGTTGATAAATTTCGAGTTATAAGCGATTTAAAGTCTGAAAAACACGAAAATACGCATTTTTGAGGCTTGAAAACACATATGTAAATTACTATTTTTGAGGTTACGAAGTGTCTAAATTAAAGTTTAAATATTCAACTTCAAGATTGTGAAGAGTAATCGGGGCTTATTTTAATTTAGACCGTTGTTTTTTAATTGTTAAGTATACACGTACACTCGATTTTTCAGCCGCCGCGGCGCCGCGCGTTACCGTGCGCCTCTATCGTACTTATGCATAGTTTACATATACTTACAAATAATTATAAGTATATAAAATAAGTATAAGTATACAAATAAGTATATATTTATTTATATCAATTGAGTTATAATATAAATTTCGTCTAAAGTCTAATAATAGTTACATAAAATAATTGTACAAAAGATTGTTAAATAACACACTAATATCACTCAGTAAAAGTATCTTTGTTTTCACAAAAATCTACAATCACATCCACATAATGGTACACAGTTGACATGATGTTTCTTGCAGTTGCAAGCATTAGTTTTGCAAGTCTTTTTGCATTTGCACGGTTTCCCAACCCACCACTATCAGACATATTATATCCATATTGTGTAAAATCGAGAGTTTGATAGCGGGAATATATGGCATTTCGCCAAATATATGTTTTAGCGAAAGCTCTTAACAAGTGTTGGTAAAGTGCGTCAGAGGTACAAGGTATATTGGCTATTGGGTTTTGCACTAACTTAATATTATTGATGTTATTACAAAAAATACAAACTAAATTTTCTTCGGTAAGTTTTCATTTAAGAAGAGGTACGGAAAAAGACATTTTAAATCCATTCACAATTTTTTTAATAACACATTAATAATATAATACCCTCTTAATGGGCATTAAACAATGGTCTTCCTAATGATCGTTTAAGTAATAACACGTCAAGTATGAGCGCGCGATTGTTAAACAGGTAAAAACTTGCATATTTGCGATAGTATATTGTTTTTAAACACCACGCAATTTAAAATTAAGTTTACTAATATTAATATTTACTGCATTGTATTATTTAAATAATAATTTTAAAATATTATTTACAATTGATATAAATAAATATATACTCAATAAAGAATAATTATAATGTTCAAATTTGGAAGAAAAAAAAACTATATACGGTTATTACATTGCGATGATTGATTTATTTAATTAGCCCAATGACAATAATTAATACCTACATAAATAAATTATGGAAAAAACTATGTTAATAAACTTCAAGGATTTGTTCGGGTTTTTTTGCGTAAGTGTATATGTAAACTATGCATAAGTACGATAGAAGCTCACTCTAGCGCGCCGCGCCGCGGCGGCTGAAAAATCGAGTGTACGCGCATATTTAACAATTAAAAAACAACGGTCTAAATTAAAATAAGACCCGATTACTCTTCTCAATCTTGAAGTTAAATGTTTAAACTTCAATTTAGACACTTGGTAACCTCAAAAATAATAATTTACATATGTGTTTTCAAGCCTCAAAAATGCGTATTTTCGCGTTTTTCAGACTTTAAATCGCTTATAACTCGAAAACTATCAACTTTAGAGAAAAATGACAAAAGACCTTTTTTGTTTAAAATGACCCAAAAACCTAAAAAAATGTTTTCCAGTTTAAAAAAAATATTTTTGGAATTTGTTTAAAAAAAATTGTTTAAACAATTTCTGCCCAAAAATTTCGCCCGGCACCCTTCAGATTTGTTTAAAGGGGACATTTTTGAACCGGAATCCGCGAAGAAACCGAATCAGAAACATTTTCCCAACGGGGGCGGCCTCACAGCCTGGACTAACTTTTTTTGTACATATATCGCAAGTGCTCTGGATATATTGGATAAATTTATCTAAAATTAGCATTACTTAAAGTAGTATTCTTGGTAAAAAATATGATTATTTTGGTTTTACTTATAATGTATTAAATTAGATAATTTAAATTTGGTTATGAGGTTAAAATCTGAATTCAACTCAACTCATCTTTATTGCATTATATTTTTACGTACATTATAATGTTATAAATAGTATATTAATCTCGATATAAAATAAAATATTCTGAGTGCATAGGGTCAACGATTCTTGGATCAATATCAATGTACTTTATAAAATTTGTAAAAGCAGGAGTAAGATTAAGGTGCAGAAAATAATGTCAAGAGTTTTGAAAGTACACATAGAATTACGACAAGGAGAGATAACTAATTATGCCTCCTAATCACCACTGAATTTATTGCTTATAAAAAATTAATAAATATTTATAATAAAAAGTTATGATGTTACGATTTATTATTTGTATACAATGTATTTTAGTTAATTTTTTTAGTTTTATCATGTTACCCAAAATTTCCCGTTGCTACTGTTCTACAGACTATGTCAGATATAATATAAAAACTTCAGAAAACAAACTGTCACCGATTAAGGAAAAAATTTAAATAATTTAGTAGATTGCAAGAGAACAGTAAGTAATGGGAAGTTTTTTTATATTGTTAATTTTATATATTCTAGGAATTTGAGTTGTTTTTTCGCAAATAAAAACAATTTACTACAAATCCGTCAATTGTGGGCTGTACAATAAAGACAAATTCCCAACAAGCTCAAACTCGCTCTATTCATCACAAGCGATTGCTGAATCACATAATCTTACAAGGTCTACAAATATGAGTCCATCAGTTTCTGGGTTAACCAAAATTGATCTATGTCCTGTGTGCGGCAAACCATATTCTGAAGAACGGATGGTAGAATGTACAGAAGGTAAAAAAATGGTGCTGTTTTTAATGCGTAGATGTACAGGATGATTTCGAAGTAATTGGTGATGACAGCTGGAACAGTTCCAATAATAATTATTCTAATAAATGTACAGTTATCTCCTGAAGAAGTCACAAAATCGTGACGAAATATTGAGACAAAACAAATAGAGTTTTATTTCCAACAAACCGATTGCTGATACCTATTATAAAACAATACTTAAAACAGTACGGAATAGCACAGTCCTAAAAAAAATTGAAAAACAGAATTCTGCACACAGAAGCGAACGAAGGTGACCTTGATACACGATGCTAGTACATTGATATGTGTGATATCGTATGTTATTTTAACTAAATTAAAATTACAGTAAACATTTATCTGTAGGTATATAGAACAACTTGCATAATCTTATGCTGGTATTTTCCAATAAATTTGTATTTATTATTTATTATACTAAAGTAGAATTTCCGTTTCATCATATTTGTTAATAACATCTGGGCCCCAAGAATTTTATTTTAATCATCTGAAATATTTATATATATATATATATATATATATATATATATATATATATATATATATATATTGATATGATATGTAAAATCGAGAAAAGTATTGGTTTGCTTAAAATATTTCAAAGTTCAAAAACATTAAAATAATTCAGAAGGCTCAAATAATGAACAACAAACATTTCGAAGAATGAAAGTCTTCTAATTTTGGATTACCTGTATTTAACAAAACGTAAGATATGCATAAATTATTTTTTTTGTTAAAATATATTTGAGTGACCCCTATAAGCTTAAGTAAAACCCTAGACATTAGAAGCGGTTTTTCCAAATAAATGTTGTGCAGTAATTAGGACAATAGAATAGATTTTAGAAAGATATGTTTTTGTTAGTTTCTTTAGAATTGGTAGGAAAAGATTTTGTAAATAAGTTTTAGGAAATTTTATAATTGTAGGTAAAAATTTGGGTTTTATCGAAATGAAGAAATGGGAGATGTATGACGCGTTTTGATTGAATGAGATTGGAAAAGGTGAGAGGTTTGGTTTAAAAATGAGACGTTAGTTAGTTTTGGAAGAAAAATTGATAGTCAGTTGGTTTCCAAGGGTGCAAGGCGAACGGCCGTTGTTCTCGGGTAGTTTCCCAGAGGTAGGAAGCAGTAGCAGTGAAAGTTTGTGAGTCTTCGTGTAGTTAGTGTATCTGACAGAAGCTGATCCAGTAAAAGATTGTAAGTTATATTTTCTACTTATATTCCAAGAGTCACTGTTCAGGCCAACGAGAGATTCAGTTTATCGTAAAGAAAAGATATTCCAAGAGTCATTTTTCACTCAGGCCAACGAGAGATTCAGTTTATTGAGAGAAGAAGAAGCTAGCATAATTTGAACGATTCGTGCATTTGAAGGAGATCATTAAGGACGATAAACTTGCAATAATTTGTTGTAAGATTGCTGATTACCTAGGGAGCGGCTACGAGTAAATAGTGTAGTCTACAAGGAACAAGGATTTGGACCACTCATCATCAGAGAGAGATAGTTTTGTTTTCTGCAGTTTTTCTTTTATTGATAACACAATTTTTACACTTAATTTAGAAAGGATATAAATATTTTGATTAGGAGATTTAGAATAATATTTGGATTTTGAGATTTCAACTAATATTGTTTGTACCAGTAATTTTGAAGGTTCACGTACGTAGAAAAAAATTTTGAGAATCATTATATGAGATTTTGTTTATTGAAAACATTTGAGTGTGAATTTTATTTCATTATTTTTATTTCAATATATAACGTTAGATCCTATATGTTTTTTATTATTCCAGTATTCTTTGGACCTTACCTTTCACATGTAATAGCAT